TGTGCACAGAACTAATTAAAAAATAGTTAGTATTTAACCATATAGCTTTCTCTGATTGCATAACAGAAGCATTTTACAAACCTTTGCCTCTCTAAATTAACTTGTTCGTGGCATTTTAATATTTGTCATAACTCATTAGGCTGAAGATTTCTATTATTATTTAATGTTGCCGCTTACTTCTGAGGACATGCAAACGTACTACTGATTTCGAAAAACGATAACTTGTGCCGATAATTATGTTACATTACTTTTGCATTCCTTTTTTAATTCCTTGCATTAGCATATTTGCGTCCATGTATCTCAGTTTAAAACACTGGGAAACTTTACACTCGGAATCTCCTGTATTTAGTAACTTATGTTGTTATGGTGTATTGAGAAATACGGCAAAGCACACTAGGGCTATCTGCCTAAGGGTAGGGATGCCTTCGTGGAGGACTTTCTAAGGGAAACTGGCTCGTATACACGTTACACATGGGTAAAACCACGAAAACACCCATGCAGCCAGCCCGTTCGCGGGATTCGAACCTCGGACCGAACTACCAGTGTTCAGCGATTTTACCGCTCGGCCGCTGGTGGGCCTATGTTGTTATGTACTTAATTTGCAACGTGCTTTTATTGTTTTTCTCACCTTCTCATAATTCATTTTTCTACAAACTGTACGTGTTTTTCGATTCATTTATTTTTCCTGATCAAAATAATGTTAAATACTTTAAAATTCTTCGTCAAACTATTTTGTACTTATTACTATCTTTAAAACTTTGCTCTGTTATCGGTAAAATTTGCATTAACGGGAATTCTTATTTCTGTTTATCTTATTTTCGGAATACCATTAATTAAAACTAATTCATTTTTTAAATTATTTGGTCAACGTTTAGATAATGTTGATTAAGACGTCTTTTTTTCTAAAATTATTTCTAAAGTATTAGCCCAACCACCTTAACGGAAGTCTCCAAATTTTCAGAATGTGCCAAACTTTAGCAATCTTACGCATAACCATTCTTCCGGCAATTACGCTGATAACAGTACTTTAGTCAAGCAATGCTGCCATTTTCGTATGTTTATTATTATTATTTTGTTGTTGTTGTATTCCAAGTTCCAACGGTTTTTATAAACAAGTCGAGATATTTTTTGCCTTAAACTTAGTTTTAGAATTTTGGAGTTTTGGAGGAATACAGAATTTTGCTGATAATTTTCTAAAGGAAACGAGAAGGAAATGAGTTTCCTAGATTGCCGTTGTTGCCGAGGTTTTCACGAAGCCGAGTCTCCTCAAACCTGTGATTTTTTTTTAAGCGAATATAGATTGCTGTGTACTTCGGGAGAAAAATATCGCAAAAAAGTCACAGAAAGATTTGAAAAAGAATTTAAGTGTTTTTTTAATGGAGTACGTAATCCTTATTTAATAAATTAAAATTTGTATTTTAAATTGCTAAATTATGTTTTCTTTTCGTCTGTTGATAATGTTTGCCGGCTTACAATAAACATAGATAGTTTGGAAATCTTTCTAAAAGAAATCTGATGTATACACCCCATGATTTCCTTGTACGGAATATTAACTTATACGCATTTTTTCTTGCATTTCATTTAAACTTATTGGATTGAATTAAATCTACTTGGTCGATAGCGCATAAACTACAATAGAATAAATGCACTCTTTAAAATTTACTATATTTGTTTACAGCGACACTCTGGCGCTAGATTCACTTAACAGCGTTATATTTCGTTCATTTTATAACTCAGAATGCACAAAATTTATATCATTTGAAGAATTATCTAATCGTTGCCACATGTTCTATTCAAATATTATAATAAATCTAGAACGATGTATAAAAGAAATTAAGAAAACAAAACAAAAAAGAAACAGTTTTTCACAGACGGTTCAGTATTTCTCATTCAATTAATTCAGTTCTCACTTCGCGACAAAGCAAAAATACATAAAATATTTATATTAAAAATTACGAAGTAAATCTTAAACACTTATTTCCTCGAAAAAAATCCAGAAAGGATTAAGCATGATTTAATTCGCAATAATAAATGAAGGCGTTATCTTTGTTGTTGCGAAGCTTAGTCTCTCTAGATTGACAATAAATCTACTATTTTGCTGTTTCAAATGTAAACAAACATTCCGCCACTTTATTTAAAAATCAGGCTTAACCTCACTTGAACAGCTTTTAAATTGTTGATAATTCTACAAATATTGCTTGCAGATTTCCTAAAGGTATAAAAACCTTAACCGAAAGATAAGAACAACATAATTCAATCACTTTTAAAGCAAAAAATGCACAATTTACAAACATATAAAGAAACTAAGATCACTGAGCCGGGTAACAAAGTGTATATATATATATATAATTAAAAAGCTAGGTAGTAAGTACTATGTAAAAAGACCTATTTGGTCTAAAACCTTTTTTGCGCAATATGCTGCAAAATTAAGGAAATGAGAAGAAGATAAATTGTAGTTAGCTCGCCAAAAAGTTACCAGGAGCTGTGGCTCCAAGAAAAAGTTCAACACAGTATTTTTTAAAAAACAATGACATTGAAGGGTGAAAAATTAGGCTACACGCGAAATAAAATGTAGAATATAAAACACAGTAATATACTAATCGTTGGAAACAGGTAAATGGCAAAAAATACAGTAAAATACCTATCGATGTGATAAGTGAAAAGTTAAAACATAAAAAAAACCGATCGATGGAACAAGTTAAAACAAATAAAACAAATAAAACAAATAAAAACATATGAAAAAATTATAAAGCGGAAAATGGTAAATTAGATCAATTCGATATCCAACCTGGCTTTTCAATACGTTTGGCGCGGCCGATTGCAACCAAAATACGAGGTGCACATCTACATGTTATAGCAGTCTATAGGACTAAGTCTATAGGACTATACAAAATTTCAAATTTCTGAGGCTACTCGTTTTTAGTTAGGCGAGATATATACATACGTACGTACAGACACCACGAAAAATTCTCTTCAGAATTCATTTTAATGCAGTTTTATATATATATATATATATATATATATATTTTTTTTTTTTTTTTTTTTTTTTTTTTTTTGAAGGAAAACCTTTTATTCTGTCCTTTACATACAGATGTCACGCAAAAACATCGTTAAATTGCATTCGATAGCGCTCAAAATGGATATTTTCATTGAAATATGCTGCTTGAAACTTTTCGCGATTACAATACTTCCTTTTTACTTCGTACAAGGAAGTAAAAAAGGTGTGATAAACCACAGATCTTGCATCTTATAAGTAACTTCTAATTTTAATCTGCAAGGAGGTTGCGTTAATATGTTAAGTACCCCTTCTTTAATAATGAAAATTTTTATTTTAAATTGCTAAAGTATGTTGACTTTTCATATGTTGGTAATGTTTGGCAACCTACGATAAATACACATAGTTTGCGAATTTTTATTAAAACAGTCACAAAAACAAACTTTCACTCGATAAGCAATTTTTACCTTCACATCAGTAAAGAATCGCTAAATATCGCCAAGGTGGTTGCTTTCATGTGAAAATACATAGCCTCACGGTCTAACTACTCGATTGGTACGTAGAGATTAGATTCAAAACAGATTTTTAATGCAAATTTGTTTTCAAAGCGTTTGTAATTTTTTCATACCACAGTTGGAAAATAAGGCCAAAGAAATGTTATTGAACCTTTTTTTAAACATAATATTCTCAACTAATACTTATTTTGGCAAGGCCTGGGATGATTTCCAGAACTCTGCGTAATTATAGAAGACATTTAAAGTGAATATATTTAAAACGCATATCGAGTGCCTCTCAAAATAAGCAAGAAAAATTTTGCTAATTCAAAGCAGCATTTATGTTATTTAAATTTTTACATTTGCAATAATTCATAGCGAGATTGGTTCCGTGTCATGCTGCAAGAGAAACATTTTCCTTTCAGATCCGGTTGCCTGCAGCCCACCAGCGGTCGAGCGGTAAAGTCGCTGAACACTGGCAGTTCGGTCCGAGGTTCAAATCCCGCGAACGGGCTGGCTGCAGGGGGTTTTCGTGGTTTTCCCCATGTGTAACGTGTATACGACCCAGTTTCTCTTAGAAAGTCTTCCACGAAGGCATCCCTCCCCTTAGGCAGATAGCCTTCGAGGTTTTGCCGTAATCACATAAACTAAAACAAAAAACCAACTGCCTGCAGCTTTATTTCCCTTTCTATCACCGATATTAATTCTCTAACACTATTTCGTCTTGAAAGAAAATTGATCCACGGAAAAGTAGTTTTGCTTATTCATGGAATATATGTGAACTAACAGTCTTGGTATATGTGTTATCTGACGACAGAGAACACAGTGCTTTCGGGGAACTTGTGCATTATCCCGTCGACCGTGAAAGTTGGCTAGCATAGAATCGTGAATGTTAATTGAAGATCTCGTTAAAGTTGAGCCAATCATTCCCGTGAAATTCTAAGCCGCATTTTGTCCCTAACTGTTATAGTAAAACATTCCGTCTAATCCACCAAATAGCCACTACTGCGGAAGTATTCGACTGGCTTCGTTTCTGAGCTTTGTAGAAAAAACTTTCATTGATTTCTACTATTTTGATAGGCCCTTTGATAAGATTTTACAAGATGCTCTGTTTAAAATGCTATAAGTACAAATTTGTCACTGGTGGTTGTTTCAATCTACTACTGTTTTGTCAGCCATATTTAGCTATTCCCCCCTCTTGCATAGGTGTTAGTTCCTTCAAACAACTGTAAATAAACCGGAGGGCAATCACAAATATGATTCTACAGTCCTCGAACTCGAGCATTTATTTTTTCCACAATGCAATAAAAAACAGTAATAACATTTAATTTATAGCTTTTTTCTTAAACAAAAGGTAGCTTATTGACAATCAATCGGAGTTACATCAATGGAAAGCGCAGATGCCATGAGTGTGATGTGGCATTACTCTTATCCAAAACTGACGCAGCTTGGTGACGGTTTCACGGTCGACGGTAGTACCGCTTTCAATCTTTATAATTTGCAACAAGAAATGTTAAGACAATAAAACATTTATTATTAGTTTCAGGTACATAGGTCTATGATTACAGGTTGTTTTTTTTTTCGCACGAACTCTGCATTCAGTATCTTCTATTTCTGAAGAATGCTTCATCTCAAATGTCTTCTTCCCTTCGGTGTCTTGTGTCGAACAGCATTTTTAAATATCTGGTTGAGTGTGTCCATTTGTTGGGGCTGAATGCTAAATGGACGTGAAATGCGCCTTGGTCCTCCAACATCAGCTGAAAAATTAAGATTTTCTATCAACTTGTAAATTTGTACAGTGCATGAAAAATACTAATGGTATGTAAAATTATTACCTTTCATTTGTTGAAAATTTGGACTGCTTAATTTAGCATACTGAATTTATTGAAGGTTTCCTCATATGAATTAAATGGGTTAAAGACTGACATTCTCTTATCTGTTTTCTTAGTTGAAAAAAATCTAGAATTAAACCTTGAAATGTTGCAAAAGACTTAACTAAGCTTGCAAGGTATTATGTTAATTAATTAGCTATCTTATTATTTGGTTTGTACTTCAATTATATTTTCGTCGGCTTTCATCAAGTTGAAAATTAGTTAATATATTTTATGCAGAGAATTCTTGAGTTCAAAAGAGAGTTTTCGGCAGCTATCGCTAACAGACACGTTTATTTCTTTTCCTTGGGACTGAATTACTAACTTTGCTGACCATTATTGCTCGGAAAAGTTTGAAGGCACTAGCCAAAGCTTGTAGGGGCACTTTAATTAATATTTTTAATATGTTTAATATCTTTATTTTAGCATTTGTTTCTGAATTTCCTGTGAGCTGAGGAGATTGATTTTCTACTCGTATTATTCTTTCGTTTGTGTAACCGTCAGGCCAACAAGTAGATACAAAGTTAAAGTTGAGTTTTTCTGTATTTTGCTTATTTTAAGACGGAGCTGTAAGTTAGTTACCATCAGCTTTACCACTAAGCTAGGATTGCACAAGTTAGTATCTGATTGTCTTTTATGGTTTCTGAAATTAGCATTCAGAGAAGTTTAGGATCCGTACAAATTTTATTTTTAAAAAGGGTTTTAAGCGTTTAAGATACTTTTAATAAGCGTTTAAGCGTTAAATAATAAGAATTGTTATATATTTCAAGCTACGTCATCTTCCGCAATTTTATATATTATATTTTTTGCGAATGATGTTTTAATAGTTTATGAAAGATAGAGTTGTACTTAAGACAAGAAATTATACTCCGAATCATCTTTTAAGACACTTTCCCTGAAGTTTCTTAAAAAATTTTAAATTTATGGTTGTAATGTCACAAAATGTGTATTACCGTATTTCTCCAATTTTAAGACGCACATTTTCCCCCCTATATGAAATTTTCTAAAAATGAGGTGAGTTTTAAAATATCGCAACTCGCCGAATTTTCCTGAATTCTTCAGATGCCACCACATAATTTTTCTTTTCTTTTCTTTTCTTTTTTTTTTTTTTTTTTTTTTGTTCATTTGGAAAATATTGCATTAGGAGTCCTGGCTGAGGAAGTCATATTTTATAAAATAATGAAGATAAAGTTTAGAAGAATCAGACTCTGAATATAAAGTAGACTGTGTTGTTATTCAAGATGCAGGCATCGTTGGCTTTGAAGAACCAGATTTTCTTATTAATTCAAAAACTGATTTATTCATAATTTTACTGAATAAATAATAGAATCTAACTCTTATGAGTCTCCATTGGCTACATCTTGATTATCAACACAGATTTCTGATAAAGAGGCGTTTCTGCCGTTAATAAATCGAATTCTATTACAATAAGACCATTTTTTAGAATAATTAAGAACTGCGTCCTACAGTTAAGAAAATACGGTATTTACGCAATATGCGAATAATTATTATTTAAGAAAAATAGCATTGCAGTATCTACTCAAAAATTAAAATTTTAAGAATCTAATGCTCAACTACATTTTATCTATTATTAGAAACGTTAAGGCAACAAGAATCCAATAATCTTTATTTTAACTAAAATATGATTAGCTCTAAACAAGCTTCGTTTATGTTTTCGGATACAGTCATCCATTTGGTGTGCTCGCCGTTTTGTGCCTGCATTTTCTTCTGTGTGGCCACCCTCCTGGATTAAAATTTCACTGTATGAGTTTTGGCAACTGATTCTTGTCGCCATAGCGCCTCTAATAATCGTATTCGGAGTGTTATTTTAACTTATATATGCAGTAAGTACTTTGATAAATTGAGAAATGAGTTGATTAAAGAAACTTTACCACTTGGTCTTCTCTTAGAAACAATCATCGGCTCGTTTGATGTGACGATCAGGTGGCCATTTTGATATAATCCATAGTATCCAATGTATGAACTACATATTTGTGCAGCTAGAAATTCAATTTTCAGTTTGTTTCTGCTTGGTGGGTAGGAGTCATTTACACACTGTAAAATAAAAAACAGGTAATTGGTAATTGAAAGAGACAGACCCCCCCAGCTCACCTAGCCGAAACTATGTTCAGTAAAAATATATTTAAGGGTGATTCTTGGCGAAAATTGACGACTGGCCAGGAAGGCGCAATTTCAAGACTGCCGCTACACAAAACCAAAATAGCAAGTCAAAGAATTGCAAAAACTCGATGTCAATGTACACATCGATCTATTTCCACTTAAAAACGTCAAAGAATTGCACAAACTCAGCATTGCTCACTGACTTTGTACATGTACACATCGATCTATTTTCACTTAAAAAATCCAAGGAGCAGCCAATTATACACTAGAGCCAAATAAAAAATATATAATCTCAATAAACTGCATTTTTAATCAAACAATGAAATAACATAAAAAAGGAAATACATCTTATCGTATGTACGCACTACACAAAGTAAATATCCACTTACCTTAATTAGAAATTTCTGTGTCTTCAGTCTCTGGCACACAAAATTCGTTAACAGCATCCAAAACCTTTCCTGAAACCATGCTCCGTTTCTAATGGAACGCTTTATAAGGTGAGCATTCGAACCTTTCATGCGACAAACCCATTCAAAGCCATTCGAACGATATTTATGTTCGACCATACGCATTTACTTAGTACAAACAGGACACTTATAATTCCATTGAATTACATCCAACAAAATTTCTTTTCTTCTGTCTTCAACCACTTTAAAAAAAAGTCCACCTTCTGCTCTCTCGTTCTATACCACCAAACACGCACTGTACTACCGGCAGCCATTTTACCATGCAAAGCACACAAAACACGACGTACTTTCTAACTGACATCCAACAAATATTTTCCCATCAGTCAAATTCACCGCAATCACGCAACCAGTCACGTCACAATAGGGTTTCCATAACATTTAGCTACTCAGGTTACCATAAATGAAACAACAACTGGGCAATAATCCAAGGGGCACCCTAAAATATAGGCTAACCCTACGTTCAGCCATAAGGCTGCCAAAGGATTGATTTCCTAGCCAGCAAGCACGGTGAAACCTAAAAGTTGAAACAAAGCAAAACAAACTTAAGCTCATCAGATCTAACATCCACAAAAATGAACGAAAATAGTAACTCAAATTAAAAATCTAAATTCAGTCTTCCTGCTATTTCTGTCCATAATAATATTTTCTCTGCCACTGTCATTAATTTTGTATAATTTTTAAAATCAATTTCCAGGTTGAACTGATGATTCCGCAGAATATTCTCAGTTGCTAGGCAGGTATCGACGAAGTGGACATTATTCCCCTTAAAATTACAAATTTTTTAGTTTTCATTTTCTTGAAGTTTAAATCTAAATAAATAATCCAGGAATCGTCCGTAGCCAGTAAGAATCTGATTTTCCTCAATATTATTATATATTCTCATCTTCTGATTAATCTCAATATTTTTCATGTAGCCATTGTTCTTTTCGAACGATTCCTAGCGTTCTTTCTTGTGTTCCATTATTTCTCGTTTTATCAATGTACTAATTCTTCTCGAATACAATATATCCAAGTCTTGATCCGCTTGTCCTAGGGCAGCTTCTTTTGCCAATGTGTTCGCCCTCTCATTTCCAGCGAAATCCTTAATCCAATGTAAATAAATACTGTGATTTTAATTCAAAAACCTAAACTTTTAATCTGATTAATCAGATTATTGTCCCACTAAGGATTGGATATCGCTTGTAAAACAGATAACGCATCCGAATATATATGAATAGTATGTTTACAGACTAAATTTCCTTTTACCTATTTCAGAATAGTATGTTTACAGACTAAATTTCCTTTTACCTATTTCAAAGCACAAAAAATGGACCTCAATTCGGCTTGTCAAACAGTATTCAGCCTGTCCAATCTTATCTAGCCTTTGTATTTCCTATTTTCAATCTGGGTTCCATAAAAATATACAACGAAAGCACATTCGACTCCGCAGTCGCTTTCGGACTCATATGTGTATATATTTATTTGTTCAATACCCATTAAAGACAGCGAGATAATTTCTTCGAACAATGTTAACTGTCGTCAATCAAATTATTGCATGAGCGGTGCAACTGTTCTTTAACATTCTCTTCACTTGCCATATTTGGTACATAACGTCTAATTTCTGTTTCTTAAAGTGAAATCGTGCCTTAAAAAGCACCATAAGGACTTTATAGTATCGCCATCTTATCTTAATGCACACAGCGGTACAGTCTGTTCGGTCTGGACACACCTAAAAATTTCCTTCTGTACGCACAGAAAAGTTGAATAAAAGAGGATTTATAGGTTACTATAGGTTACTCTGAACCTTCTTTATTTATAGTAGATGGCAGCAGCTCAACACAAACCAGTCCATATATTTTAGCCATGTTTAGTTTTTTAAGACCCTCTTTTTCAAAGAAATCTTCCAGATTTTTTTTAGGTATAAAAGGAAGTTTTGAAAAGAATTTCTATGTTATTTTTTTGGTTTGTATGCTAATCTCCTTATTCTATTTAGTTTTAAATTTTACCTTGAAATCTTGCCTAAAATCAAACGGCGAACCCTAGTGTGCCCAGACCGGGCCACGATAATCTGGGACAACTGAGAGTCTGTATTCTTTGTTTCTCCGCATCTCCTCCGTCTGTTCATTAACAACAGTGCTCGTTTCAGCACTCTTTTCGAAGCTCTATTCAATCAGTGTGCCACATTGGGCACACCCACAGATTAAAATGATAAGTTCACAAAATTTTACTTGTGTACTCCTCTAGGCCTAATTAGACTGCCTACCTTTTTTTTTTTTTTTAAATCAAAATTCCAACTTTAAAAGGTAGCGTGCCGGAAAGGGTTAAAGGACTCCATCATCTGAAACCTTAATAGTGGGATGAGGCTAAATTCCAAGAATTCATTTTTGTGAATCAATGTAGAAGCTTTATGACCATATGGAACATATACCGCATTAGAAAGAATATGCGAAGATTAGAAAGGATAAAGTTACCTTCATAAAATCTCCAATTTCTATCAATTCAGATTAAAGCTTTGTAGACGAACTTATCATCGAGTTCTCTCATTCTAAAATTCAACTGAAAAAACACTTAACATATTTTAATCGATTTTCCCTTTCATACTAAGCACTAATCATAACCGCATTCGTAAGTAATGCGTATTATAAAAAGAATGATAAATTTTATTGTATCATTTTAAAATAAGATTTCATGCTTCAGCATTATCCATCAGGTCATACTTTTAACATAATGTAAGATAATGTCCTGAATTATTTCTCACCATTTTGCGTTTCCTTCATGTTATTGCCAATGATATTTATTATCCATAAGAGTATTCATTGAGATTTTTGGCTACTTTCAGTATTATTTCAAATCTTCTTTGCGTACTCACTATTGCTAAATTCACGAATAATTTCCGTATAAAAAAATTCAAGAAATATTTTCAAAATTTGTTTTTAACATTCGAATTATTCTTAAATTTCTGGGAAAAGTTTTATAAAAGATTTGCGCATTAAAAAAAATTTCGAAAAAACTATTTTCTTCGTCTTCTGTCATTGACAGTTGTAAAATCTATAAAAAAGTAATCACAGATATCCGTCGAAAGCAATGTTAAGATCGAGGAGCATGAATTACTCTTTTAATTAAAAAAAAAAGCATAAATATCATGTTACTCCTTTGAGCATTTTCGTATATAAAGTTGAAAATGGCTCACCTGTAATATTCGGATCGCATGTCGTATTCCAGGGCTCAAAGTACGTCTCCCTCTCATTATTGCATCTGAAAGAAATGTTTTAAATAAAATCCTTTTAAATATTTATGTCTAATAATATTGCAGAAATTGCACTCATGCCAACCGCTATGGAATAAACCAGGGGTACGCAAATATTTTTAACTGCGGACTAAAATCATCATTTTTAAAGCATCAAGCAGGACTGTACTGATCTTTTGCGGTGCTTTTGTTGTTTGAAGGACACGATGGAGAAAAATGTTTTAAAAAATTACGATCAAAACTAAAAAGTTAAAAATTTAAAAAATTAAATATCTCAACTTCCTCTTGGCCATCCAGTAATTGACATGTACACTGTTTCTTTTCCAAATAAAATTTTAGAGGTGAAATGTTCTTAAGTCCTCTTTTCTGTTTCTTTCTAAGCTGATAGAAATGATAGAACTATATTTTTCGGTTGATACGCACCCTTTCTAACATGTTTAGTATTCTCAACCTAGTTTATTCGGTAGTATATTCATGTGCATATACACTGTCACAACAGATGCGCACTCGCGCTGCTGATTTCGGTAAAGTGTGATATAAAAGAAATGAAAATGCCGTTGCATGGAATTTTCGAACGGGCTGGATTAAGCAATTAGAAGGTTCGTATTCGGCCCACTGGCTGGCTTTTGTCCGTCCCTGCAAAACATTAATAATTCGCGACTTAAAAAAATTCATTGTCGTGTACTTTTACGGGACTACCATTAGTTAAGGGAATGCGACCACTCATTCTACCCTGGTTCGAATCTCATCGAACGAGTGGCAGCTCGAGGGTTATCTGATTCTGTCCATAGTTAAAATGATAACCATCCAATTTCTTCCAGAGAGTTCTATTCGAATGCATCCCTTCCCTTAGGCAGAGAGCCATAGTGTTTTCTGCTATAATTCAATGAGTCCGATTTTTTTTTATCTTGGTTTAGATAGGAAAGGAATCCTTAATCGTTAAAAATAATTTCACATATAGGAATTTAATAATTAAAAAAAAACTTTTCCAAATGTATTTTTGATAAAACATGAAATACGAAAGAAAACGTTTTATTCGTTAAATAGTTTCATAGCTGTATTTCAAGATGAACTTCTGCAATGAATGTGGCCTTCGGAGGCTGATCTCAAACCTAAGCCGCATTATAATACGCGAGACTGAACATAAATTGTTTTTGAATATTCTTAATATTTGTGGTATGTGTTGTATAGTGGAATTAGTAAAAAATATAAAATATTAATAATATTCTTTTAAAAGATATTAAGCTTATATTTCAGATTTCGTACTTTGATATAGTATTATTTCAATGCCATTAAAGCAGCTATAATACGTATAAGTTAATAACAGTAAAATATTTCTTGTAAATAAATCTTACCTTCAATATTCGTAGAAAGAAATACTACATCTCTGAAAGTAGCCAGAGTGGTGGTACGAATACATGGTCTTCCCTTGTGCTGTAAGTTTTTGAATCAGATATACTTTCAGACAATTAAATTTAAAAAAATTTTCGTCCATAGTGTTAATAACTTTTTAACTAAATTCACTGTCTTAATAATCTTCAAATTAAACAAGTTATTTAAGTTAGAGAAATTCAAAACAGTTATATTTACAAATTGACTGGAAAATAAAAGAAGCTTCAGATATCGTCTTTGCTTTCGGCATCACCCTTATTAAGCATTTCTACAAATAGCTAATATTTAATTATTTATTTCGCTTCAGAAAATCCAGAGCTGAAATGGTTAAATGACGCTAACTGAAGATATGTATCAAATATCCTAAAGAAATTGTTTTCTGTTGTTCATGCCTCTTACCACGTTTTCATGCTGTGTTCTTTAATGATGACTGCACATCCAGAATGTATTTTGAGGTAATTTGTATTCTTCTATAGATGAATTATCGCCTAGCGAACATAACTGTAGTTTAACACGTTGACGGCGGCGCGGATATTCATGCGGCAACATGACCCACCTGTAGGTCATGCCGCCCCACGGAACAGACAAGTATGACCCACCAGTGGGTCAGGCTGCCCCACGGAACAGATAAGTATGACTCACAGTGACTTTAGACTGTTTTTCCTGTACGCAACTCTTATTCTGAACCTTTAAAGAAAATCTATATTTCGATTCGATTGATTGATAATTTCAATACTTACATATTATCCCATGGACCTTGAAACTGTCTCCGATTTTCATCAATTCTGGATAAACGTAACGTCACAGCATACTCATAACATGAGTTTTTGTCTGATGTAATCGCGATTGATTCTCGATAAGCCAACTTTTGTTTCTATGAACGAGGATATAAATTAACTGTTATTGCTGTACTTTTCTCTTGAATTTTGAAGAAGCGATTACATTTTGGGACCTGCATTCTACAGAATAGTAAACAACGGAAATTTTTCCAAAGCTATGGGATTATACACTATTAAAAGGTGTATTTATGGACACGTTATGATCAGCTGCGTATGCCAGAAGAAACAGCAAGAGTTTGGAACAATTACCTAAGGGAAGTTTGTTATTTATACCGTTCTAAACAGAGCTTTCGGTAAAATCGGAGGGCCTACTAAAATAGTAGAAATCGACTATAGCCTTTTTCTCTGAGGCAAGAAAGCGAAGTCGGTTGATACTGATTGATCATTAAGAAACGAGGTGTCAGTTATTTCAGAATTCTGCAGGAATGATTGGCGCAATTTTGGCGGGATCTCCGTCAACTTTCATGATTTAATGGTAGCCAACTTTCACGGTTGACGGGATAATGCATAAATACCATAATATCGATTTATAACTTTCATTGATCAAGTGATGAGGTTTTTCTTTTTGCACGAATGATCATCCAAATCCCTAGTTTGAAACTTTGTGACTTTTTATTATGAAGTCACGAATATACGGATTTTTTTAACCCTTTCCGCCCTGCCCGGGCGTTTGCCACCTTCATATGTAGAGGTCTATTTTATCGGTAGTAGAGGCTGTTTTACTCTTCACTGTCAGAGATCACATCTGGCGGGTTGTCCGCATGTGTTTTCCGCTGGATTTTTACCTTGAGACCTGACGGTGACAACAGGCTCACCGCTTAGTTTCTACAACTGAAGTAGGATCTTGTTAATGTGTTGCAAAGGAATTATTCTAACACTTATAAAAAATATTTTATAGACTCTTTATTTAATTATTTATTTCGCTTCAGAAAATCCAGAGCTGAAATTGGTTAAATGACGCTAACTGAAGATATGTATCAAATATCCTAAAGAAATTGTTTTCTGTTGTTCATGCCTCTTACCACGTTTTCATGCTGTGTTCTTTAATGATGACTGCACATCCAGAATGTATTTTGAGGTAATTTGTATTCTTCTATAGATGAATTATCGCCTAGAGAACATAACTGTAGTTTAACACGTTGACGGCGGCGCGGATATTCATGCGGCAACATGACCCACCTGTAGGTCATGCCGCCCCACGGAACAGACAAGTATGACCCACCAGTGGGTCAGGCTGCCCCACGGAACAGATAAGTATGACTCACCGGTGGGTCAGGTCGCTCCACGGAACAAACAAGTATGACCCACCGGTGGGTCAGGCCGCCCCACGAAACAGACAAGTATGACCCACCGGTGGGTCAAGCCGGCGTCAACGTGTTAAAATTAAGATATAATAACACGTCGAACAAGTATTAATATAGCAGTTAAACAACAAAAATCTGTGCTATATTTTCAAATTTTCACAGGTCTAGTTTCGATGGTTTTACCGAACCATCATCCTCAGCTGCAAAAGCGCAAATGAACATTCTTATATCATTCATTTGCGCTTATGCAGCTGAGGATGATGGTTAGGTAAAACCATAGAAACTAGTCCTGTGAAAATTTGAAAATATAACGCATTTGTTAATTTTGTTGTTTGACTTCTAAATTAAAGTAGTTTGAAAATTTCAGTAATAACATTTTATTAACTAATATTATTTTACGCATTTCTACATTAACTGTTGTTATGCACAATAGATTCGTTGAAATGTCTTTTTTAAAAATATTTACTGGATTTATGGCATCGAGTCTTGCTCTTGTATTTGTTTCTCACCTCAGTTCTCTTGAAAATGCATGTTAAGAGAAAATGCATTCTCTTGAAAATGCATTCAATTTTTTCCTGCACATTTAACAAGTTTCTCTCCCGACTAACTTCGCCTCATAATGTTCGCCCGTGTTGAATGTGTACTCTTCTTACACTCACCACCACAGCTAATTTCATAGGTAAGATGTATATTAATCCAGGAAAAGGAAACTAGCAAAATTGTCTCGAGAAACTCCATCACTTTGACGTCTTAGGAAGACTACGCTCTGTTTGCTTACAAGGCAAAGAATAAGAAACCTTAAGTTATCCTTCAGCTGAGGAATTTCCCAAAAGGTGGCAATGCAAATTTTAGTTTCTAGAAAAATTTTTGCTTTAAAATTAAAGTTAAAGCGAAAAAGTACTGCGTACTATTCTCGACCTTGCAGTATTTGCTCTTGGTCGACAAATCTATCCGATATTATTAAAAGTTATGTAAATTTTATAAATGAAATTAAAAATTATATTATTTTGCTCTAAATGATAGTTACAATAGAGTTAGGTTGCGCTAGGTTTTGCTTTTAAAATTTTATGTCTTGGTATCGATTAACTTGAAAAGATCCTTATTATAGTTTTCTACTTGATGAGTCTAATTGTTTCGTTTACAGATGAAAGAAAACAAATATTTTCTACTCAGTTGAAACGTTTGCAACCACTTCAAGTTACGCTAATCCATATTATTCCTTTTCCTGCTCGATTAAGTTTTACATCAATAAAATAACCAGAAAAAAGTTTTTACTGTTAGGTTAGCTTTTCTGGGCGAAAATAAGGCTTAACCCTTTAATTACTTGTAATTGTATAAAAAAATATCCTAGTTCATTAAGATGTATCTCTAAACCATATTTTGGTAAAGGAAAATTTCACTATGATATTTTCTTACTTTGACCATATAAAGTATAGCCTCTAGCATTGGGAGGATTTCACAGTAAAATGTATTCCATATCTCTTCTAAATTTTGCAGGACTTTGGGACCTGCAAAAACAATTTTTGTATACTGTTTGAATTACATTTAAAAAAGTTCAAAATGTATTTCACAATCTTACATGAAAATATTAAAAAATAAACAACTTATGGTAAATAAAGCAGCAGAAAATTAGATAAATTAAGCAGCAGAAAATCAGATAATTTTTTTAATATCACACTATTAGCTTTTTCGATAATTTAAAAGCGCCGAAAGTGTCGATATTTTTACTGCTAGACCTAAGGGCGTAATAAATAGTGAAACCATCTGAAATAGACATTAAATCTAGGATTTTTCTTCTGTCTGTTGCATATTTGTAAACTTAATCTTGAAAAAAGGTTCTTTTGATACCCTTTGCAGTTGCGTATCACTTTTAAATATTAACAACTATATTAATTTTTATTTTATTTAAGTGTATCAAGTTTTATCAAGCTTTTACACGAATTTCAATAAATAATATGAACTTACTGACTTTTTTTTAAAAAAAAAAATTCTGAGTTGTAACTTTCATACATTGCTTTGCATTTTGCTGTTAACGGAAAGGCAAGAACACCCGTGCTACAAAAATATACTGAGCCTCTGTCATTATATGAGAAGAAATACTTCAGAATTACGCAGATATTTCTTTATTAAGAAAGGTTACGTTAGCTGTAACGGAGAATCTGTAAGTTCAGATAACCAATGGAATTATTGCTTCAGAGAGCGCTTATTCATTTAACAAGGTATATTTTAGCTAAGATAAAGCTCTTAATAGCAGCATGAATATTTAAAATTTATTTCTTGTAAATTAATTGCTATGATTCACGCACGATTTTTTTTATATAATTTTGTTTTCCTAAGAGCAATAACAGTATTCAATTCAATATATGAGAAAGAAAAATAAAACTTCAAATATTTTTTCCGAATGCTTATCTAATAAGCACCGATATTAATACAATATAGTCATATATCAGGAATGTTACTTGAAGAGCAAGTGACAGTTTTCAAGAGAAACAGTAAATAAATGGCTCTTTAGGTTACAAAAATTCGTAGCTTTCTACTAGTCTATTGTCAATTTTAATGTTGACGAGAAAGATTTAAAAATTAAAAATTTAGACGACGTTTTAAATATGCTGTATTTCCTCGCATATTTTTCCTCCTAGCTTTCTAACGCTAAGTTCTAAAAATTCTCAAAATATTAACATAATTTTCCTCTTCTATTGTACGTAGTTCTTCCCTCTGAGAGCCAGTTTATTGGTCAATTGTATTCCCTTGATTATTTTTATTTAGTATATTCAAATTGCATTTGCATTTTTGTATTAGCATTTCATCCTTTTTATTTTCCTTTGCATTTATTATTTGAAAATTATTTTATACAGATTCTTTGTTAAATTACGCAGGCGTAGAAGATGTTCTCCCATTTACGAAATTTTCGGAACATGTGATTCACCTTACTTTTGTTAATTACGTTTCAGCTCATTGTAGCTTTATCTACTACTGATGAGTTCAATTTTCCGATATCCGTGTCTTTCGTTCGCGCCCGTCTTTCTCTTTGTCGTCAGAGATCCGTTGACTATCGGCTTAATATGAGTCAGATATTGTAATGCTAATATTACTATGCATTCTTATTCAAATCTAGGTTCTTTTAAAAAAGTAATAGTAAGTTACACTGTTGGCCATCAAAATTGCAACACCAGGAAGTAATAATCTGACGAACGTCAAAATCACATGAAAGGAAGAAAAGGGTGGAATATACAAATGATTAGTGTTTCAGCGCATTTAGACGACACAGGAGGAAGAAACGACATCTGAAGCACTGCATAAAAGAAAAGTTGTGCAGTGGATTTCTCATTCGGAAAGCGCTTTGTAATGTTTTTTGCTCAGAATATCATGCTATGCCTCGAATAATAATAAGCAATGCTTACCAGCAAGTGTCGGAATTCGATAGAGGCAGGATCATTGCCTATCGAGAGTGTGAATTATCGTTCCGTGATATCGTCCGTCGCACTGGTCGACATCCAACCACTGTCATATGCGATATGGAATCAATGGGTTGATTAGGGTCATACGGAACATCAACAACCTCCCATGACTAACACTGGAGAGGACAGACATAATGTGAGGTCAGCTCTGCAAAACAGTAGAACCACATCACGGACCATTAGTCAGGAAATGGGCATGTTTGGAGCAAGGCCCAGTATCCGCTGGTACGGTGCGTTGACTTTTCAGCAGCGTGGACTATCAGAGCGGCGACCATTACTTCGTCTTCACTTGACAATGCAGCATAGAGAGAGACAGCGACTCTGATGCGCCGAACGACAAAGCTAAGAGTGGCACAGTGTTATCTTTTTATCTTTTCAGATGAGTCCCGGTTTTGCGTGCAGTATTCTGATGACCGTATACGTATTTGGAGGCTCCGAGGAGACCGTCGCCTGCTTGCATTCGATATCGGCATAGGGCTTACACCTGGTGTGATGGTTTGGGCAGCCACTGGGTACACGACACGCATATCTCTGTTTCGGATCGACGGTAATTTGAAAGCAGTTCGCTGCATTTCTGACGTCTTACGTCCAGTGGTTGTGTCTTATCTTCGAGGATTAACAAACGCCACCTTCCAACAAAATAATGCAAGACCACATGTTGCACGTCGTGTTCTGACCTTCTTCGATGCACAGGATATGCGATTATTGCCCTGGCCTGCACGGTCTCCAGATCTGTCACCCATTGAAAACATCTGGTCATGGGTTGCTGACAAACTGGCCCATTACCCCTCTCTAGCTAAAGTGGTTGATGAAGTGTGGCCTAGACTTGAAGCAGCATGGAATGAAATGTACGTTTCTGTCATCCAAGCCCCGTTCGACTCCATGCCTAACCGGGTAAGGGCGGTTTTATTTGCCACAGGTTTCTACTAATTTCGCCCTCTGTAAACCCCCAAACTGCTTACAAATTTAATCATTTTGTCTTCATGCCATACTGTTTACGTACAATAATATTTTTTTTTTTTTTTTTTTTTGTATTTGCTTTCCTTGATGGTGTTGCAGTTTTCATGGCCAGCAGTGTAGTTGCCAGTAATTTGTCTATGACTGTTTTTTATTTGGTATGTTCTTTTCTTTCGTAACTGCGTTCTTAGGAGAATAAATTATTGGCACAATTTTTCTCCTCTCGTTAAATTAAAAAAAGGGAAAACATTACGCGAGGCAATATGGTATTTATTATTTTAAAGTATACTTATTCATTCAAATGAGCTTTCTCATTTTCTCCCAATTTTCTTTGAAGTGAGAGATAAAATCAGTATGCACACTTTGTGTATTTTTCACGCTTTAGGAGATTTTCAAATACTGTCTCGACGTTGCACCTTTAACTAACTCTTCTTCTTTATTCTTTACATTAAATTTTTGCGTAAGTAATAGCTTTAAAGTAAATCTGGCTCTTTTCTAGTTTGTTTCACTTCCTATTCTTATTAGATCTATAGAAAGAACACAATTTCATTGCAGATATTCCGAATAAGTATACTGAAAGGCAATAAGAGAGAAGATGGTATCAAAACTATCATTATGTAATGCTTAGTTTTTTAGCTCTCTATTGTAGCCTTTAATACAGATTAAAAAGAACATTCTCGCATTTTTTGACAAATTTCAAAAATCAACAAAATACTTATTTTTTTAATATTAGTTTACAGTAATTATTTTGCAATAATTTAAAATATCACAATAAGTGCAATGTGAAATATTTTCAAAATTTTCATATGTTGTAAGTAACTCTGCAACAGCTTAAAACAACTACAATTTCGCTATAATCTTTCGATGTGTAAGAACTGTAAATGCATTCAACCAGTTTCTCTATACTATTAAATCGAATATCCTGTAGTTATCTTATATTTTGTTCATACTTATAGGATATCTAGTGCTGCTTTAAACTTGTTAGCTAATCAATATTACATTATGTATATATGTATGAACTTGGTTATTTAAAGAAGAGAGAAATATAGAGCCGTAGAAAGTAAATTTTATTACCTTTGAATTCCCTGAGTCTTTCTGCTGCCATGAGATTCATCTCTTTCGTTAGCCATTCCTAGTAATAAATATCAAAAGATATTTATTATATCAAAAGATATTTAACATATTTAACGGCATCTTTAAGATATCTTTTAAACTATAATTCTTTATCAATCCAACAGAGCCATTATGCTTCTGAATGCATTTCGATACTTCTCAGTGACAACAAGGTTTTTATTAAAATATCTACTGGTCTGAATAGCGGCTTCTACCCAGCGATTTCATTGTAGAAAACAAAGTTTCATTGTTGTAACATAAAAATAAGGGAAAGAAACAAAATCGTAGGTTTTTTTCATTTGGATGTGACATAGCTATTAACGGAAACTATGGAATTTTATTTCCTTAGCATATTAGGTAACTGCGTATTATCCTGTCAGTCGCAAAACTGTCATCAAGCAGCGCGTTTTAACGCCAGTTAATGGATAAGCGTGGAGAACAACCTCACACATAACATTTCTGCTGCCGTTTGATGCATAGTACAAGTGCGGTAAGTTGGCCTATCACCTTGGAACCGTTCATTTTCAAGTAGGGGCTACCAAATTAGGAATTAAAAGCTGGTGATGCTTGACATGCCTCTTTTTCCTTATCGAATCGCTATTTTTCCTCTTGTACGAGCAGTGTATTGTTGATAATTCAGAATCATAGCTGCTTTAAATCTTGGTGCTTATAATTTTGCGTTTAAAGAATGTTTTTAATATTTAAATGCTTTTAATTCATAACTTGGTCAGTTTAGCTTACTAAGCTTTTGATGTATACGTGAAATGAGGTTTTTTTTTTTGAAAAAAATATATAATTAGGGTAGAACAATCTATTTCAAGGAACGAAAAGTGGTCCAGAAAGTACAAGAGTTTTTGAGAAGGAGTCAGCATCTGAAAAGCTATGTATTCCTATCTGACAGGATCATTATTAACAGCCGCTGGAACTGGCTTATCGATTAGAAGAATTACGCGCAAAAAAGCAAGAAGCTAATATTTCCCTGCTGCCTTAGCGATGCCCACAGGAATACATGAACTCACTCCGCGAGAGCAGCGCCATAAGAACATTATATTGCAAACAATTGTCCAGGTTTTGTATGGTACTTTAGGAGAAATGTGGGAAAATATTTTCCATCCCTTAATTTTGTCCACCAGTATATGAAAGTACCCAAATTCTTCAATAAAGCAAGTATATTTTTAACAAAGGCGTCTGCATAATAAGTAATATTGAAATTCCTTCCTCTGCCCCTTCCCATGGTAGACTTGAATGCTTTGACTTAATTTCAACTAGCCAGTCGAAGTCACTACGAAAGCTATCTTTAAAAGACTTACAAGATTTGAAAACAATTTCATAAATGCGACATAGTAAAAGAAGTAAAACAAGCTTATTATTAATAAAATGAAGGGAATTTAACCTTACTATTATTTTTTCAAAGAAACTGTCTTTAATAGAAAGCTAGAAAATTCCAGAGAACAGGATACCGTTAGAAACATGGTCTTAGTGTATAATCTGATTGCAGATTTAGTTAATTGATTAAAAATCAATACGCTCTCATTCAAAACTGAATTTGCGATGCATTACATCTGGCTTTATTTAGAAATATTAATGATGAGATTACATGCACGATAACATGCAAGTTGTCACGCTGATTTGCATTGCAGAGGATTTGCCCATTTTTATCAAAGTTTATTTTGTTATTGCACTGAATTTTTGTACTTACTATGTATTAAGATCTAAATTCCATTTTACATTGCTTTACAATTAAGAAAATTTGAATTGTATCATAAATAATCAATTAAAATTTCATGTATCTGTAAAAGAAAACTTTGTTTCTATATTGGCAAGATCAATTTTTATGAAAGACTTTCAAGTTAAGGACTGCGAAATATTGATTATGATTAATGTTTAAGCAAAGATTTTACAGAACTGTGAACTTTCTTGAGAAAAATTAGAACATTCTTTACGACGAACTTGAAAACTTTTAATTTTCAATAGAATTTTCAATTTTAATTTATTGTTAAAAATGATATCTTTAAGGTTTCATACTTTAAAAAATTATTTAAATTAAAATTTTGTGATTTTTCTCACTGTTGTATTTACCTAGTTTTGCTAATTCTGTAATGCTTTCTTCTAAAAAGGCTTTTCTGTTACCATGCCTTTTTCTCTTTGAAGGGGGGATATATAAGATAAAAAATATGTGAATCAAAATTATAATTTAAACTAAAGGTAAAACATTAATTCTCTCTACCTTTATATTAGTGAATTTTAAGAGCCATTTCAATACTGTCAGATGATTTCATTCAAACTATCAGTGTGGTTTACTATCGCAGAACTTAATGTGTAAGAAAACTGAGAAAGAATTTATGACTTATGTTACAAACTAAAATGAAAGTGTTACTGTTTTTGGTTTAAATCTATATAAGCAAGATGTATAAATGCAATTAAAATTATGAAACTATGTATTCCAGTTTTGGTTTGGGAGCCTTAACAATGGAATTTTAATTAGCTAACAGTGAAATCAGAAGTTACCATTTCTCAACTCAATAAACTTCAAGTAAGGCCGTCAGAAAATGTCCATTTTTACCTTGGAAATTGCTGGAAAACTACAAACAAAATATTTGTAAAAATTCATTTTTTGGTGAAAAATAAAATATTTTCATAATCCCTGCAATATTGACAGTTTTTACACGAGCTAGCAGAGGCGTAGCTAGGGTTTTCAGCGCCCGGGGACAATTGAAGATTTTGCGTCCCTTTCTGTGTGCCAAGAATGGAAAACATTTCATTCTGCAATTTCATCACATCAATTTGGATGCTGCGTCCGGGAACAAATGTCCCCTCTTGCTCCACCCTAGCTACGCTACTGCAAGCTAGTATGAGTTATAAACTAATTTTACCTATTAACGTATCACATGTAATGCATATCTCGAAATTTAAGTATTGCATACAAGTTAACATTTCGACTCACTATGACGTATTTTAAAACAAGGCTGAAAATTCCTGGATTTGTCTTTACAATGTCTTGCATGAATTTCATTCCTGTGCATGTCATACAAAAAATAAAGTCAATCCATGAATTTAATTTAATGTCGTGCTTTCCGATAACTTCTCCATGAAAATGGTTACAATATATTTGGATGATTTGATTTGTTAAGCGAAAGGATTATTTTTCAGGGCTACCCTACTTATAGCATCATCATAAAATCGCGCCCTAAGCATCGCAGAATTCACTTAATGTCATTGACATCCATGTGAAGGGAAAACAATGCCAAGAAATGGAACCTTTGTTTATTTTAGTATGGCAAAGCACAAGAAGGCTATCTGCTTAAGAGGAGGGATGCCTTCTTGGAGGATGATCTAAGGGAAACTAGCTCGTATCCACGTTACACATGTGGAAAACCACTAAAACGCTTTTGTATCTAGCCCGTTCGCTTGAATCGAGCCCAGGTTAAACTATCAGTGTAGATCGAGTTTCCTAGACGGTGATCTCATTTTTGCTGTCAGAACAAGAGAAAGATTATTTTACGCTAATTTTGAAGATAAGAATGCGGTACTCATTTAAATCATCAACCAGTCTAATCTCATGAACAGAAAATATGTAAAAAAAAAAAGGAACTTTTCGTTGTACTTAATGAACTTTCATAAGCACTAAACTTAGAAAGTTCGCATTCACTACTATCATTGTTGGAATCATCCGTTTCCATTACAAAAAATTGAGTGTATAAACTACTTTAAACAGAATTTGAATCTTCAGTATTTGCTTTTAAGGATGATTTAATAAAAACTGTCTAAACAAAACATTCAAGAAATTACCTAAGTGCACAATATCCAACAGAAATACCGAGTTTCGCACCAAATAAAACGAGGGGGTGAAAGAAACAAAGTTGGCTTCCTAATCGATTAACGCTATTTATGAATCTGTAAGCAAGTTAGAATACATGAAACACATTAATTAAAGGTGCAAAGTTTTAAAATGAGAATAAGACATGGTGTTTGAAAATAAGTACAGGGTTCATAGGACAATTCACGGTACGCAAAAAATGCTTCGTATAGCGTGAACACGTAACAAGTTTGTTTTGAACGTGCATAATTACTAATTAGTTATAAGGGCACAGAAGCTATTTAACTTTCTGAAGTTTAAGGGACTGACGATTCTTATTCATACATCATGTTAAATTCGTGCATGAAAAGCTATTAATTTTACTAAAATATAAACTTTTATGTACTAGCTTTAAGTAGTTGTAGAACGAGAGATAAGATCCTACATAATACGTAAGCATCATACACATTGATCAATCAACAAAAGTTCAATTAATAATGATAAAAATATACTTTAAACTTAAAATGTACATTTACGTACTTTGTAACAGTCGCAAAGGAATGTTCCTGTTTTGGACCGGAGTATATTCCTGCAAATTTAATTCAAATTAATATTTTTATATGAAAACCTATTTCATAAATGACAGTAATGCAAGTTAAAAATCACAAATATTTTATGTATATTTTTATTCTTCGAGATACACAGGCTTTTAATGATACAGATTCCTCTGTAGTAAAGCTTGTCGAATGAACGAAATTTCTTAGGATGACGTCTACCTACTTAAAGTATTCTTAACAGACGAAAATATTTCACATGAAAATATTTCACAGTTTTTGACAGCTGCAACTCATGCAAAAGAGTGTCACTAATTTGGGTAAATTAGATGGGAAATGTCATACACATTACTAAGACAGTTCTAGATAATTAAGACAAGTGAAGACCACAAAATCGTGCTGTTTGATCCAACAGTTTCTCACAGGAAGATTCGTGTGACATGTAACCACGACTTAGAAGACTCCAAAGCGTTCTAAACAGAGCTTCTGGTAAATTCTTTTATAATGAAAGAAATTTAATAATTAACACCATCTATAACAGAAAAGAAAAGCAAAAGGAAAAAATTAAGCCATTTAGCCATATAGAGAGAATCAACTGGAATTCATTTCATTAATCAAAACAAAGAATTTACCGATTAGATTTTCTAAAAATAAATTTTGTTTTAATACCATAATTTTTTCCTTACGTTATATATATATTATTTTTATCTTTATTCAAATACATAAATTCAGAATCTTTAATTTGTGTACACGAACGAGATTTTCCAACAATTTTTATAGACAGATAAAACTTCACATAATACGAATATATTATTTTGCTGATGATTGTATATCCTCAGCAGGTTCTAATTTTCATGGAAATTTCAGATTTAGTTTAGGCTTCTTACATAGTGAAGCAAATTTAACAGCCAGCAGTATATGAAATATCAGATTTCATAGTCAAATCTGGCATACGGATTCAAAAAACAAAAAACTATTGCACGTTTTTAAACATACATAAAAATCAGTAAATATACAGGGTGTCCCAAAAGAAAGTTTACAAACTTTACCTCCTGGTCTATCAGACTATGACGAACAAGCTTTACAAATTGCAGGAGAAGGATGCATCGGTTCAGTAACGAAGAATTCACCGATATGCATTACGTTTATGGGATGGTTGGAAATGGACAAGCCGGGAAACGCATGCACCGACAGCGCTTCCCAAACAGATCTCTGCCAAGTCATCCATTGTTTAGACAAATGCACCGCGGATTAAGTGAAGCTGGAGCTTTACGTAGAGGAAAAACACTTAGTCCGTAGAACACGTGCCGTAGAGGAAGTTGTGCTGAGGGAGATTGAGAGGAATCCAATAACAAGTATCGAATTAATCTAATTTGACTTGGGTGTACCTCATTCCAGCCGTTATGCACATATTGCCTACCCTTGTTACGAAGCGAATAACGATATCTAATGCGTAGTTCGAAAGGCTAGTAATAACTTGACTATTCTTGTTCGAACTATATTTTGTTTCGACGAATATGCATCAGTGGTAAATTTGATCTTGATTTGGATACAAAAAATTCATGACGATATCTTTCATTTATATTTAATGAAAGCACCAAAATATATCACAGCAATACACATACATCGCAATGGCGAACCACAGTTACATAATGTAAAAAAAAACAGAATTCCTTTGGCGCAACAGCGCCCTCTATCCTATGAAAAGTTCTAACAACCCTAGGGCATCCTTCTCTTGCAATGTTATAGCCTGAAATGAATCATCTTCCCGCTTTCCAATACGCCTATGAAAATTGCCCTTGCATAGGCGGCTGGTCACAGTTTCTTATACAACTTTCTAGGTGAAACTTCTTCGTCATGGTCTGACAGACTAGCACGTAAAGATTGTAAATGACATCTTGGGGTACTATGTAGATCTAAATGAGCAAGCATTTTCTTTTAAACAATTATGTTTTGAATTTTTCACTTATATATTTTCAGAAAGAGTAAGTATTGCATATTTGTTTCAAGCAATCATAGTAATGTTTGCAATTAAGTTATAGACTATGGGATGTCATTTGCAGGAAACGTTTCTGCATTTGAAACTAATGTTTACTTACTTGACATTTTGATGCAACCTATATATTTCTCCTGGGACTTCTAGTGTAAATTTCTCATTGAAGATATCCTTCACTGCATTTTGTACACTAGAAAGAAAACATTTTATATGAATTTTTAGTTTAAGAAGAAATAAAAGAATGATTAAATCATTTTGCAGCCTTCAAAGGAAAAAGCGCTCGTATCTTTTATGAACGGAAGAACTCACTGTCTAAGTTATGTCACACTCCAGTAAACTACCCTTCCCATTCGAATTAAAGTAAATCCTAGTCTTCCTGCTGGGAAGTCCCAGTAGTGGCCAAGTGATTAAGACCACTGAATATTGGGAGTTCGACCTGAGTTCTATATCAGAATGTCTGCATAGTTGGCTTTCATGGCTTTACTCATGTGTAACGTGAATACGAGCCAATTTCTTTTAGGAATTCCTTCATAAAGGCATCCTTTCTCTGCTTTGACACGTATGCAACTAACCTATTAGAAAATTAAGGAAGTTATCAATCTGTTTTGAAGAAGCGACACTGTAGGATCAATATCGTCTAATTACTGTAAACCGTCTTCAGAAATACACTATCATGCAATAATTACCAATATACGATATATTGGTTATATTGGGACGTTATATTGGGATATAAATCGATTACGGATTTTCTTCCTTTATATATATAATATATATATACAGATATTCCTTTATACAATATACAGAATGCATTCGTTCAGACAAAAGCATGGTTTTAGTTGGATTTCTGCTCAAAATATTCCTGTCATGTATTGTGACAGTGCTTGTTTAAAATTGTGAAGACCGATTTTGAAGCAAGGTATACACACTGCTTTTTCCAAGGATGGAGCATTTAAAAACAGCTACAGTCTTCTCCATTGTATTCCTTCTCCTCAGATTTGAGTCGCTCAAAGGATGAACGTAAAGAGTGGTGAGTGTAGCATACGCTATGATGCTCTGTAGAAAGAAGGAACTTTATTACAAAATTTTCAAGTATTACAAGGAAGACGCTGGCTGGAATCCGAAACGTATTATGACAGATTTTGAGCAAGCAGCAATTAATGCCATACGATGTTTATTTTCCTATGCAACCATCAAAGGATGCAATTACCATTTCTTAGGTACAAGTGGGCGGACACCAGAAATTCACCACTGAATATACAGGTATAATCCCACCATTAACTGTTCATTTCCCCTCCAGTTTTGAGCAAGAACAACCCGGGGGTGGCCTCCGAAAGTCTTCCACTCCTCTTTTCCTGCCATAAACCTCTCTAGAGAACTTTCGGCTCTCCATGTATTTTGAGTGCCCCCTTGTTACACAGACACTATACGCTTACAAACATCGATGCTTTCTCTGGGATTCGAACCCGGGTACAACAGTCAGCGTTATTTACTACTTTACCGGGTGAGCTAAATCTGTATCGGGAGAAAAAAGAACTTCGACGAAGTGCAAGAATATGCAGAGCATTAAGGCATCTTTCTCAGCAACTCGTCGACGGAGGCTTGTTAATAATAGAAGAAAATTGCCCCCGGGAACCTAAATTAAGAGAATTATTTGTCTATTTTAGCAATCAATGGCTGGATAATGAAAATGCTCCTGTGAAATATGGTGAATCACAGAAAAGATAATGTTGTTGAAGGGTGAAATCACAGGCTGAACAAGCTTATTCCGAGACTTCGTCCATCATTCAAGCGACTCATAAAAACACTCACAGAAGATATAAAATACAACGACTGTCATGTCTATAGAACAGATTTGAATTTTTCTGGCAAGAAACGGCAAAAAATTCAGGTTGACAAAGAAGATGGAAAATGTCCTAATTTAATTTAACGAATGATGCAAAAAAGTGCCTAAGCTCTCTAGCATTCATCGCAAAACTGAAATAAAGAAATATAGCTAAGACTGTATAAGAATAACTTACTTTTTTTTTCTCTGAAAGAAAGTGCAAAAAAGTTAAGGGCCTAAAGATTTCTTATAGTTCTTCCAAATGTGGAAAAATCTTCTTCGTCTTCTTTTATTTATTTATATTTTGATGGGTCATTGTGTGGTATTTATATGTTCTGATCATGTTAATTAATTTTGAAATTGTGTAAAAAAAAATCACTAATTTCGATTATTGTAACTCATAATTTAATAATATATTATTTTAAATTAAAAAATTTTTTTAACAAAATTAAAATTTTTACTCCTTAAAGTTATTCTTTTATTCCGTAGTTCTCAGTAATTTCACAGACCCAATATCTGATTTCTGATTTTTAAAGAAAATCATATAAAACTAAAAATTATGTGTTTTACATTTCATTCCTGGTTCTGATTTCATATTTTCAAAACATGGATGTGGGAAAAAAAAATAAAATTTTACAAACTGCTATAGGAAGATTTGAAGGGGGAGGCCAGGGACACGTGCTTTGTCTGCCTCTGTGAAAACTAGGTTCTGCCCATGATTTGAAAAAAAAAAAAATAAATAAAAATAAAAAAATAACTTTTGTTTCAACAACGCCGAAAATAATTCCTTGATAATTTTAAACACGCGTGTATTTTGCTGTCAGTCCGAAACTTAAAGAAAATGTGAAAGGAAATTGTAAATGCTTTGCAAGACACATTTAAAAGGGTCATTTACATTTAAATAAACGACAAAATCGAAATATTTAATGTTTTTATATTAAGATTTCATTCCTTACAAGTAAAACATATGCAAAACAAAGTAACTAAAGTCTCATGTAAAATTTACAAATTAGAAAAAAAGTAAATTACAAAGTAAAGTCCCATGTAAAAATTTGCTCTACTCAACATTCGCTCTTCCAGTTATGGTAAAAAAAAATAGTTTTAAGCTTTTGCGATTTAAAAAGCCAAACGTTTTACTTACATTTGCATTTCAGCAAATGCCTAACATTAAATCCCGCGAGCTATATTTATAAAAGCTTCTTTATACAATTTTATACAAATGCATGCTTACATATGATATAAAAGTTAACTCATATGCATATCTTTCTATGTTTATTAATTTTAAGAAAGTAATGGGCTTGCAGGATTTCAATGCAATTTCATTTTCCAATTAAGATTTCACAGAAGTGGGATTTTCCTGCTCGTGTGCATGGTTTCACTGACTCGGCTTATTAGAATTTCAAGAAATTTTGATTAATTATGTTAACACTCTACCTGTATAAAATGAACAATCATCATGTTTCTCACCTAAAACCTTCTAGAATTATAATAAAATTTGAAATTATATGAAAATTTCGAGCTCTTACTTTCTATTGTCTCAGTTAAATTTATGGTAAATATGTATGCAATATTGTTTAAATATAAAATAATTCACGTTTATAACATTTAAGTACATTTTTATATTTCTTTATTAAGAAAATAACATGCATTTGCAGGATTTGAAGGTAATTATTTCTTTAAGATTTCTCATCACTATAATTTTCTTGCTTTGTGTGCATAATTTCTCTGAAGCTATTGATCAGAATTTCAAAAAAACTTCTACCAGCTGTACCAAAATTAAGTGTGTTTAAAATGAGCAACAACTATACCTCTCACCTAAAAATTTTAGAAACTACCTTTAAATACATTAAAAAAAATAACTGATTTTGGTCTTACGAAAATAAATAAATATAGTTAGATATATATCTATAATTCTATTATTTTTAACATGGACCATTTTAATTGTACATTATTCTTCCATTTTGAAAGAACAGCTAAAAATACTGATTTGTTTTTAATAATGCTGAATGAATAAATTTGCCCGAGTGACTAGAAATTTGTTTTCACTGTAACAAGCTTTTATCTAAGTAGAATGAAGAACATACTTCATCTTGTAGTGCTGAGCACACCAAAAAATCTTCTTTTTATCAAAATACATTAAATTACCAGACTTTCTTCTCATCAAAATTTAAACTATCTTAATTTTTATCTGGTCAGGTTAAATTTGAAAATTACTTGTTTCGTTTCATTCTAAGAACAAGTGATTTGCGTCAGCGTTCAAAATAAGTACCTCAGTTCAGTATGTGGAACATTTAATTTTCTCTTATATTATTTTTTCTGGCTCTAGATTATGCCTGTACAACGATTTAAAAAAGCCAGGTGTGACTTAGCGAGTGAGTTTAGTTTTTGTGAAGTCTAGATGATTATTCTGTGTTTTTGTTTGTTTTATGAATACAACAAAAGTTTTATTAACTTAATTTTGTAATCAAAGGTTACATTTGGGGAGTTTGTATGTGTTCAGAAAAAAAAATATGTACTGGACTTGCAGAAACATACTGCAGTATTACTGACTTGACAGTCATTCATTCATTCTGTTTAATGACCTCACGGTATGAGATGTGTAAAGAAAAGAATAATTTTTCCCTTTATTATTTATTTCTTGCCATGTCACATCATTATTGTTGTTACATGGCAGAAAAAATGTACTAAAATACAAGACACACTCAAAGTCACTTCCCCTCTTAATTATTGGCTCATTCCACAAATAATGCCTTTTAATATTCTTTTATTTTAGAAAATTAAGATAAAGTTCTTTTTAAATTTAAAATATACCCTCCTTTATCTTGTGCTAGTTCTTAACAACTACGATAGGACTTCCACCAGTCCAGTTTCATAAGGCTTTCCAAGACGTCCTCATTTACTTCTACAAATTTTTCAGGAAGCGGCTCTTCTTCTAGGCTATAGTTTTCGGCTCAGAATTTCTGGCACCATCGTTTATACTGGCTTACGCTTATTGTGGGATCTTCATACACCACGAAGAGCTACTGAAAAGAGGGAGAAAATGCCTTATATACTCCCCTTTTAAAGGACGAGTGATGATTAGGGAACCCAAACGCCAAATCCTGGTGGTGATGAATTATCGTCCACCACCTTTTAGTTCGGACGCCACTGTATAGTCATTAGGTTATTTTGAAGCAGAAGACGTGAAAAATGTAGAGTGCCCTCGCCAGGACTCGAACCTGAACCTTTCGAATACGCGCTGACTGTGCTACCGTTACACCATGAAGACCTACCGGAAGGAGGGTCAAAAACCCTTATATGGTTATCCCGTTCCCCTCAGACTTTTATTTCAAGTAGGTGGGGAACATGCATTATTTATGGGAGGACCTAATGTTATACGATATCCTTATTGTACTTCTGTTTCTCGTCTGTCTTCAAGGTAATTCTATTTTTACCCTCCTATGTATTTTACACATTCCCCCATCGACTTTAATTGAGAGTAAAATAAGAGCGGGAAAACGCGTTTTTACATGAATAATTATTTAGCTTCTTTAATAATGTCAAAGAACTAGTTCCCTTTACAGTAGGTAATAAATTCTGGCTCATCATGGATATCTAAAACTAATTTAAAAACCGCAAAACATGATAAATGTATCGGGAATAACTGGAAAGTTTCATCAGCTAATGGATCATACATCAGCATATGTACGGACGGAATAATGTTTTATCACGCAGTCAGATATAATTGTACATGAAGCAGTTGTACAAATTACACGTAACCTAATGATTCTTATTTAACTTCTTCAACCATATTCCGTGAACTTCCGAAATTTTAAATTTTTACTTGTCTAGTCATTGTTCTATACATTTTCAGCTAGAGTACGTAGTTAAAACACGTACGGAATTTACTGCATTAACATTATCAAAATTAAAATGATTGGCCTTTAAACCCTTTCATTGAGAAAAGTTTATGTAATAAAGTAGCAGCATCGGTAATTTCTTCAACACAATATATATTCGAGTCCTTTGCTTTTATTACATAGTGCACTGGTATGAATCTTGGCATCACTATGCAGTGTCACGCAATGATTTGGGTCAAGGGTACTAGAATCAACAGCTTCTCATCTTACAATGCAAAAAACCTTGGGTTTGGCATGATGTATGGATATCGGATAATGGCTTTACGTAAACGTGTGGGAATGGTCTATGGGTTATTATATATTAACCCATAGACCATTCCATATATATATATATATATATATATATATGTATATTTTTTTAATTAGACATTTTAGCATTTCAGCCCAAAGCTTAAATGAAGCCCTAACCCGCTGAAGCCCAAGATCTGGTATACAACTAATGGTTCTCACCGGAACCCCTCATAAGATGAACCCCAGAGGACTTTTTATGAAATATTTCAACAGAAAACATGTTTTAAGGTCTTAAAGAAGTTCAAACTGTCTTCAGTTTACCCTCTTCTTTTATCCTCGATTTTAGTATCATTAATATCAATAGATTTACTTTGTTTTTTAATATCATTTCATTTTTATTGTTTTGCAATATTTATGGTTTTATAAGGTATTTCTCCCGCCCTTTTAGCGAGCCTTCCTGGTGTAGCGGTCTGCACCCTCAGCGCGTAATTGAGAGGTCCGCGGTTCGACGTTGCTAATTTTTCATCTTGCCTGCTTCCAAAAAATACCTAATATCTCTACAGTGGCGCCCGAATTAAAAAGGGTGTTGGACGATGATTCTCCTTACCCAGGATTTGGCGGTTGAGTCCTCTAAAAACCCCAGTCGCCATTAAAAGGGAGGATGTATAAAGTATTTCTCCCGCCTTCTTGGCATGCCTTCGTGGTGTGGTGGTCTGCACACTCAGGGCGTAATTCAGAGGTCTGCGGTTCGATTCCCGGCGAAGGCGTAGCTAATTTTTCAATCTTTCTTGCTTTCAAAAAAATACCTAATATCTCTACAGTTTATTTATATTTCATTTATTATCTATGTTTAATTACTTTCAGTTTATTTATAATTCATAATTTCTTTAATTAATATATTAATGTTGATTTGTATGACTTTTATTATTTTACATTAATTCGATTTTAATTGTTCGTTACTTTATTATTTTATCTATATCATTACTTTAACTATGCATAACTCATGTCCTTCCCTTGTAAACAAGCCAAACTGTGACTAGCTTCAGCATGGTTACCTTCAGATAATAAGGCTTGTTTTAAATTTTTCTTTCAGAAGCATCTGAATTCACAAACTGCTCTGGGATCATAAGAGTTTGGGAATTATTATCATTGAGGAAGAATGCCAATGTAATAGTTAGGACTGCAGTATTTTCGAGAGGAAAATGGTTAAGTTCATGTGGCGAATGTTTTTACTTAGAAATATTCACAATCGTGCTTCGTTTCCCAGGTAAAAATTGTAGCTTCTTCAGTTTGTTGCTAAAGAGGCTGCAAACATTACTAACAGGGTAGTTGTTTTTCTATTATTCGAAGCTCTAGAACACGTCATTCGAAAGTTAGAAGGATGCAAGAGGCAAAGAAAAAAACCGTTTCTCTTCATTAAGAAATACTAATAGTTTTTATGATGGTAATTTTCTCGCTTTAGACCTTAGCTGCTTCTGCACTTCATTAATGATGCCTTTGCTTTCTCGCTTCAGACCTTAGCTGCTTCTGCACTTTATTAATGATGCCTTTGCATTTTGTGAGACTGGAGACCTATTAATCTAGTTCACGAAGCGGTAAATTTCTGAATACTTAACAACTGGTTTAAACTATTTCGAATTTGTCCGAATTTAAGTATATTTGCAATCGATTCGTTTATTTATAGTACTTAACAACATGTCTACAACAATTCAATATGATAAAAATATTACAAATATTTATGCTGTGATAAATATTATTTAAAATTTAGATAGCCATTAAAATTTAAAGGATAAAACTATAAATGAAAATGCTGTAATTAATCAAGGTATCGAATAAAAAGGGAATACCCTTTTAATGAATAAAGCGAGAGAAATAACACATTTCATTACAATTATGTGATATAACTAAACTGCATAACGCAAATTGAGAAAGAGTTTGTGAATTAAGCTTACAGTTTCTGAGACTTTAGTAACCATTTATAATGTTATTAGTAACCATTTATAATGTTACCACGGGACTGTATGAAATAAAATCACATAATTGAATATCAGGAATTATCTCGCTGAAGACGTTTCTAACGTCAAAAAACACGACCTAATATGATGATTTCTTAACTATTCCACTTCATTACAGATTGTCTCAGGTTTTGAGGCTTTTGTGCAAGAAGTAAAATTGGCTTGTTCTGTTATTTATGAAAATCGTCATATGTCTCCATACCTTAAAACCAATGACTGCTTCGCTAAAAATAATCTGAGTTTTTTTTATACAACTCTTTTTAAAGAATAATTTTCTTCTTGAGCAAATTAAAACGAACTAAACAGATCAATATACGGATGTAGCATTAACGATATTTATAATCATCAATTACATTGTGCATCTAAAAAGTCAGCTTTAACTATTTTCGCTTTATGTTTCTATTTATTTAGTTTCTTATTTTGAGAGTATGGTAGTATTAACGTCTAACTGTGAAAACATGCAATATCCATTTCCAAATAAATTTCCAATAAATTAATTAAACTCTTATGTAACTCAAGAATGATGTATTTTAACGAAAACAACTGTTATTTCTTTTGTCATTGTTATTATATCTATCTGTATATGAGAATTATTAAACCTAACAAAGGAACAGAAAAGAAATTTTTTTCTTTTCTCTAATATGTTTCCCTTTCCTGATAAAATGTTTTATACAGATTTATTATTATTTTTTATATATTAGGATTCATTAAGCCCCTCCTTTAGAAAAAATTTATTTTTTTTATTTCACTTATAAAGTATAAGTTAAAAAAGAGACTAATATTTGAGGATTTTTTATTTCAATGAAGCTTAAGCAGTTAAAAAAGTAAAATGTTTTATTGCTATTAAATGAAATACAAGCTCACTTTTGTGATACAATTAAATAATGAAAAATGTTTTATTTGCTTTAATACACAACCCATTACTATTAAACCAAAAATAAGACTACGAAATTAATATTCTTATTTATATAGGCTTTAAATCTAAGCTCAATCTATTTTTGTTTGGCTGTACTAAATGAATATACTCTTTACTTGCATAAAAACAAAACGTGTAACTTAAGGGAGAGAATTCTGCTCTTCATTTTATTTTATTTTATTTTGTAAAAGATCATACAACTAAAGAAAATTACGAAAAATTATTACTGTAAAACAAATTAAGAACACATCTTCTAGATTAAATCAAAATATGAAATTATTTTAATTTGCTATAAAGAATCTATTTATAAAAAAAAAACCAAAATAAACCCATAAAATTTAATTTTTATTAACTAAGTCCTAAACCTAAATTTCATAATCTTGTTATTATTTTGAAAGCACTAAATTTAAGCAAAGTAGTTATTTCATATTTGTATAAAACAATACGGATAACCAGTTTATATTTGAACTAAGATTAAACAAAGCCAATATTTTTTTAGGTAAAATAAATTTGTTGTAAGTAGCATTTATTATGGCTACGAAATGACTCGTAGAATAAGCGCAGAACAGTAAGTTTGTATACTGCATGAATTTACTCTTCAGCGTTCTATATCTGCTGAGCATTTTAGGCTAACCTTCATCTAAATTAATTAGTTTCTTGAAAATATGTCATTCATTGTGTTATCATCTTTTCTGAACTACTTATATCAGTTTAAAAAATTAAAATTATGAAAATAAATAACAGCTTCATTTTAATAGTCAGAGAAAGAGAAACAAGAGATCCGACAAACTGGTGGTCCGGATATCAAATGTCCGGATAAATGAAATTATATTACACATAACGTATAATGAAATTTGACATTTAAATTACAAACATATATTTGTCGATAACTATTTCACATAAAAATAAGAAAATATCAGTTAAATCACACATACCTTTTCCAATCATCGGTACTAAATATTTCTGGTTTTTTAGCGTCCGGTTTAATCTCAAATCCTTCTGGCACTTCTTCAAGTGGAGCGGGGATGGCTACAGCGCCAAGCGTTTGAATGGTGCGTAAACCCGCAACAGCGATCTTAGGTGTAACTCGCTTCGACATCTTGTGCTGTGAAATGCTTGCACTTTAACCCTCAGATATTCCTGTTACAATCGTCAACCATCATTTCACAATCTGAGAGAAAAGAAAGCTGGAAAGTAAGAATATCCCGAATGAAGAAGGGGGGAAGAGACACCATAGATGTAAAAACACGTTGTCTTATCTTCGCAACCTTCGAGTTTACAGCGTGTAGATAATTTATAGATGATGATAATTTTAAGCGAATTGTTTTATGCATGGAGTAAACGCACTGTAATCAGTTGTCAGATCTCAGCAGCCACATAAATGAACTAGATGTCAGTACTCTCGTAACTTATGTCAGAAAAATACTGGATGTTTCCAAATTAGCCTCGGAATATTTGCTAAGTGATATACCTCGGAGAAACATTTATTCTAACATCTAAATTTAAGCATTGGGGTTTATGTGAACACTTGTCGCATGTAGACAGAATGATACATCGGTTATTTGAGAAGGGCAGTAAAAAGCAATGATTTGCAATTGTGAAAGAAGGTTTTATAATGAATACTATATTGTAAATGTAAATTACAGGGATTTTGTTAATCTTCCTTTTAGCTTTTATAAAAGGGATAAACGAAATAAGGGAGTAATGCATAGATAACAGTATCGTCAAAAATATATATTTAAAAAAAACTAAAAATAAGTCGTGATGGAATCTCAGATACAAGCTGAAATATTGAAAAAAAAAAAAAATTCTGTTGCCAGTTACATTTAGTTTTTGGAAATAATTTTTTTTCTTTATAAAATGTCGAAGAATTTACTGTTACGTGTCAATCACATTCTGGAAAGACATTTATCAGTAATACTAATCACTCCTACGGAAATGCGCTGATCTAGATCGACAAGAAATGGAACGAGTATTGGTAATACTTGCACGTCTTCGATGTTGCAGTTGTTCTGTAGGATTAGTTCCTTCCTCCCCTCACTTCATCTTCTTTCTCTGTGCAGCATCTTCTGCATACAAATGTCTAAATTTTAATTTAACAATTTTCATCGTTTTTTAGCTACAAACTAACAACATCAAAAAGACGAAACTACTCGGTCAATGATAATCCAAAAACAGAATTCAAATTCATCACAACGTATAAATTATGTGTAGCTCACATAAAGGTGGCGCGGGCATCAGAACCTTAATATTCATTTCTCCTTTTTTTGCAGAAATAACAGCGATAAAAGACAATACTCATTCAATTAGAAACATTAAAACACTGCATAAACCTTCAGTTCAGTGAAAAATGTCACATAATTTCTGGTCAGACGGGATGATGAAAGTGACAAATTTGCAGCACACGAAGTTCTTGATGTCTGTTATATTCATCATCAGAATCAGCTTCCGATCAAGTGACTGCTCTTCGAAACTGATTAGAAATATTTATAAACAGATGCTTTCTTTGATGCGTATAAAATCAGAAGCAATTATTACCGCCGGCCTATTCTTATCTGATGTAACCTTGTACGTAGTCAGGTTATATGTAACAAGTGACAAACGTTTTACATACACAAAGCGAACATCAAGTGCTCATGAGATAATAAGATATTGAAATAAATTTGTTGGTAAAATAACTTCATTCCTTAATTGGGATAAAATACCCAACATATATTATAAAGAAATAATTCGATTGGATTTTTGAAATTATAACAAAGTACAAAACCGCTCTTTGTCTAAGAGAAGGGTTGGTTTATTTGATTATGGCAAAGGATTATAGCAACGCAAGCTCTGCCTAAGGCGAGGGATATCTTCGTGGAGAACTTCGTAAATATAAGAGGAAGGAGGGTTTTGGGGCCAATTTCTAAGAAAAATTGCATCGTATTCACGTTGCACGTGGGAAAATCACGCGAATGCCCATGCTGCCATCATGTTCCCCGGGATTTTTAAGACATGAAATTATTGTGTGAAAAATATTTTGATTACGACGTAAAACACCTTCGTATAGAATGTACAGAAAATAGGTAGCAGTCTTTTAAGCACTGTAGAAAGAATATTTTAGACAACTTAGGGTGCAGTTTCTTTTCTAAATCTTTTGGAAGACTCTTTCAAAGAAATTCGTTTCTTATGTTCAATTTCCTGATATGTTTTTCTAATTCTCCCACAGAATAGGATTTATCATCCATTCAATAGGATTCAGATCAAGCGAATCGAGAATTGGTTTTGAACAAGACATAAAAAGCTGTCTTGGGAATTTAGCCAGATTGTTAATCTTTCGAAAGATCCCTTTATTTGCAAGCCTTAAGCTTATCCACGGATGATTACAGATTATCTCGCAATGTTCTTAAATATTATACTGAATTCATATTATCCTAAATGAAAATTGTTTTTCTTAGCTTGGAAATCTTCATTGATTCCTACACTATCATAGCTTAACACGTGTTTCTCTACCAAATGCAAGATTTCTCGTTTTCATTTCGTCATCACTTTTACGCAAAACACGATCAAGCAATCGAATACCGTAAACTATATTTCATCTATCTATAGCACTAGCATTCAAAATATTTAACAATTTTTGGTATATGTTTTTAAACTGCTGTTTCTTAAATTGATTTGAGTAAGATAATAGAGGTTATTTCCTTGGAGCTATATATTTAGAACATGCTAAGGCTGTTCTTAAATTTTGCGCTCTTTCTTTAAAGTTTCTATTTGACACCAATTCAATGACACAATTAAAGTTTCTATTTGAAACTTGACATTCTAAAATTTTGAGTTAAAAATGCTTAATTGCTTTTTAGGTGATAGGAAGTATCGCCATTTTCCCTATGCGTAATTTGGTGGCGTAAACGATTAATACATCCAGGGAACCATTAGAGTACCTGTAGTTAAATGTGGAAAAGACAGGGTTTGAGAGTCCGAAAAACCTAACAATATCTGAAGTGGTTTCCGGCTGCAAACATGATGCAGTTGGATTTAGCCGAATCGGTCTCATACCTATTAAGAGGAAAACAATGCAAACAATTATCATGTTCCCCAGTGTCTGCCAAAAATCCTAATAATCTTTAAGAGGTTACCATTAAAAAAATTCAAATGACAAAAAAATCCTAAGATTCGGCGATTCGAATATCCCATCCATAAAGAAAACCCATAAATTTGAATTGTTAACAGATACTTCGCAATTTTATAGAGGACATAAAATATTGCATTATCTTTCGATTCCTATAACCAAAAAATATTGCGAACTATAACAAGTGTCCATTTATTGTTATTTTTCCTCGATATGTGTGAAATTTGTTTTATTAAGGTAACCATATGTCCTCTTTCCTTCAGATATGCTATCTTTTCGAACAGGGTTCTTGAACTGTGAAAGAGTGTTCCGATTTTAATTTCTGTTGTACAATACGCTTTTCAAAATTACATCTGAAGTCTACCGGAAAATTGATAAATGAAACGGTAGGTAAATAGCGACGTTTTTTTTACGTACTTAATTAATTCATGCATTTTCAAAACTCTTTACCTGATTTTTGTAATTGTACTTTAATAAAAGTGAAAATAACTTGTAAGGATTATGTTAATTTTATTAACAGTTAAATTTTAAGTTAAAGTTCCTTTCCTAGCAAATTCTTAACTTCAACTAACTACTTCCGGCCAGAACGTAGTTTTGGAACCTTGCTGAATATTTAATGAGGAGGAGCGGTATATAAACCACGAAGTTACTTACTGTGTGGGAGAGGGCAATCAACCTTCTTCTCCACCACCTTTGATGATACAAACCTGAAATGGAAGTAACTACAACTACTCCACCCTGCCTCTCCTTCAGCGCTAGAGCTATCCAAGAGCGCGATCCAGATTTACTCTCTAAAGAATCGGCACACAGACCTCATTTTTCGACATCCAGCGATTACAGCGAACGGACACTCCGAATAAGGACCAGATGATCAAACAGTTACAGGATGAGGGTGAGAAAGTTTTATTTTCCCTACATACCCTATGTTCTAAACTCGGCATAAATTTATTTCACCCTCCCTGCCACTGAAGAAGAATTCTTCAAAGAATGTAAAAAGACCTCCTAAAACCCCTGATTCGGACTCCAACACTCAAAATTCTAACCCTAAAATTCAAAATTACACAATCCACCCTCATCCTCAGCCAATCAAAATCCTCCAAAAGAATAATCCTAAAACTGAACTAAAAAAAAACGAACCAGGCCCAACTGATAATGAAGGATTTGTCAGTTCCCTCCAAAACATTTAATTGCCAAGAAAACACTTACCCAACACTAATAGAAAATGACAACCATTACAACATCCAATTCCTTTCACGAAATATAAAACTCCACTGATAACCACTGAACACTCGACGCAGCAGCCGGCTGTCACTCAAACACCAAAAATTCAAGCACCACCTCCCATTTTCATAAAACCGCGAGCTGATTGGTTCTTTCTCCTCAATCAGCTTACGCCGACACGCACCAACTGTTCTTTCCAAACAAAACGTAGATTTTCTAAAACTCACAACCTACTAACGAAACAGACTATAGAACAGTTGTTAGATTCCTCACAGAACAATAATATTGAATTCAAATCTCACACACTCAAATCAGATAGACCACTTAAAGTTGTCATTAGGGGATTACCCTCCAAATACACCGCTCAACGTTGTGCAGACTGCGGTTGAAGTGCTTGGCTTCAAAATCCACAAGATCTCTCAACTTAAGAAATGAAAGACAAAAATGCCAATGCCTCTCTTTTATCTACAAATCTTCAACAGCCTCAAAGCTGAAGAAATCTATTCCATAACCGAGCTCCTTGGAACTGAGGTATCCATGGAACACTTCAAAGGTCAGAAAGGTCCCTCCCAATGCTGGCGTTGTCAGGGATTCTTTCATTCATCTGAAGTCTGCACATTACCAAGACGATGCGTCAGATGCGCTGGGCCGCATCAAGCCAAAGAATGTACTAAACCATTTGAAGAACCGAACAAATGTGCAAATTGTTCGGGAAACCATGCTGCTAACTGGCGTTCCTGCCCGAAGTTCCCAGGCTCCAAAAACAGACAACCTCCAAGGCCAAGCACCAAATCCAGTCAGACCGTTGACAACACTAAAAAATTTAACCTACAACATAATAC